TAGTAGTAAGAATAATCAAATATGAAACTATCAAATCAAAATATATATAATTTGCGGGGTGCAAAAACTTTTAGGGGCATTGCCAAATGCCTCTGGGGGGCACCCCCCCAGAAAATCTGTGCCTGAACTGAACATACAATTAAAGCTTGATTAATTTTGAACAACTGTATTTTAATTAATACGTGCTTCCAGAAAGTATATCATCTTGGTTAATATAGGCTGTAATCTCATTTTCATGATTGAGACATGTCAAATACACAAAAACGAGGCTCCATAGTCAAAGTGGCATACTTTCTGGAAGGATGTACAGTATTTGACTTTTTGTAGCCTCTATTAACTAGCAGTAAACAATTAAAAAATGTATAATTTTAATTCTTCCTAATTTAGTGGAGCATGATTGTGCTAAGTGAGTGTTGTAAAAATTTACACTTCAATAAAGTTATTATAATCATATAATTATTTATTATGTTGTTATGGTATTATAATTATAACTTCATTTTGATGTTCTACACGTTGATGCCTGTGCCATCTCTTGTGTTGCATTAAACAGATAATTTCTGCAAAATAAAAGATGACATTATTATCATGATACATTTATATACATCTTTATATATACATCTTTATACACCATGAAAATGAGAAATATCATATGCATGTATATAGAGGACATTACACAGCAGCGTGAAGATATGATTTTTATCTTCGAGTGGTGAAAATAATAATTTACGAACGAGCACAGCAAGTGAGTAAAATATTGTTTTTAACACGAGAAGATAAAAGTCATATCTTCAAGCCACCATGTAATGTTCTGTTTATTATATAGTCCCAAGCAAAAAATTGTGAAATTGGAAAAAGTCATGTGATCGATATCTTCATGCACTAGTGAATTACGATATGGAAAATATCTCAATGTGTGTTTCTCAGTATCTCGCTCTCTACTATATAATAAATACACATATATTAACCCTTCAAGTGGCAATGTGTCTTACTGTATTAGTAGTAATGTATTACTGTATTATTTTAATCTATCTAATGTCAGACAATTTTACTAGTCAAGGGGAGAGCATGCTGCTACTATGGTGCAATATATGATCTGTTTTTACCAAAACCATAATGATCCCAAGCTTCAAAATGAAGTGTCATGTTTCCATATTCAGGAATGGAATTCTATTATTATCAAATTTCATCATAGTTTCTCACAGACCAATCAGACATCACCTCTTCCAATGTTAGAAATGTTGTACGTAGCTTATTCTGAATTAATTACCTGGTTAGTGCATCGAGCCATTGATAGTGACTCACTTATCCCAACAGCTTGTGGGCAACATTTTTTTCTTGCCATGTAACTATCACATCATACTGTGTATGTGGTTCTGAACAGACAATGGCAAAGTGAGTATCTATTTTCTACCCCAAGACTCTTCCCTTTGAGTAAAATAAGAATGTAGGGTTCATTTGGGCACATTGCTGCTTAATGGGCTGACTATATCTCAGGGGCTGCATGCTCATTGACAGATAGTATATTTAACCCACTGAGTGGCAGCAGTGAGCAGTCTCCCCTTAAAATCGTCTGGCATTACACAGACAGTGTAAAACAAAAAAGATCAGTCTCCAGGGCTCATCAGGACAGGCATATATTGACACACGTAGGTGGGCCTCCTCTACTCAAATATTTCTGGTCTCGTGATTTTGTGCTTGTCTATATATATATATTAATCCTGCACTATATGATGGGCAAGTATAAAAATTTCGCACAATATAAACATGTAAAAACAACCACAATATAAATTACAAGTATTAAAAACTGGCAGTCTGGCAATAAAACCACAAAGACCAGTGCTGACACAAAACAATATAATTTCATGCACACAGTATCTACTCATTAACAATATTTGTATGTCTACTATTGAAATATTTGCTGTATATATTAGGATGATGAGTTTTTGACATATGAGTGTATTATATCTTGAGTGATATGAACATGCAAGTCCCTAGAATTAAGTTAAAAAAAGTTTCGTGAATCTTACCTGAAAGAATTAGTCTTTCTTTGCAGTGAAGTGCTGCATCCACAAGCGAAGCAAACCCGCATCCTTCCTCCGCGTTGTAAAACAAGTAATGTGCGATGGAAATATTAAGATTTTTTAGCTCAAAAACAACAGAAAACTTGAAATATCTTTAATATTTCTGTGCAAAAACCAGGGGGGTTAAGGACATCGTTGGAAGCTTAGGATCGCGGTTGGTCAGTGGCAGTTACCATGAAAATTTCGGAAGTGTTGTCATGGCAATGGCGTAATAGCCGCCATGTTTTCGGCTTCACTTGATGATGCCGAGCAGGTCCTCCAGTAATATAGTATAGCTCAGTGATGACCACCCACCGAAACACGCACAGTGACCCACGCCCGCGATATTTGATGAACTTTAGACTTCGCTAATGCTTCCCTTCCCCGGGTGTAAACAGCCGGGGGGAATTAGTACCCTCGCACGGCGCTTCGCGCCGTCGGCTCGGGGATTATTAATTATTAATTATTAATTATTAATTATTAATTAATTATTAATTAATTATTAATTATTAATTATTAATTATTAATTATTAATTATTAATTATTAATTATTAATTATTAATTATTAATTATTAATTATTAATTATTAATTATTAATTATTAATTATTAATTATTAATTTATTATTAATTATTTATTATTAATTATTATTAATTATTAATTATTATTAATTATTTATTATTAATTATTATTTATTATTAATTATTATTAATTATTAATGCGTTAATTATTAATTAACGCATGTTAGTTTAAATTCAAATTGTAATCCTATTAACTACCTGAAGATCGAGTAAATCTCCGAAACGTCGTTTGTTAATGAAATAAACATTTAAAAAAAGTCTTACTGTGGTCTATATATTGAACACAAAATATACTATTAACAACTAATAGCTAAGAAGAAGCTTTTAATTAGAAAGAAAAAACAGATCACATGGAGAAATAACTTCGAAGGGCATTGTAAGTCTACTTAATATATACATGAGCTTTCAAACACAGGACTTTTGGCCAACCAGGACAGTAGTCAAGTGGGCATAATTGTGATATTTAGCAATCATGCGACCTTGAATAGGTATTTTTAATGCTTTTTCGGCACTATTATGTACTTTATTTAAGTTATAGCGTTGTTGGAACACTGCATGATCAAACCTTTTCAGGCAAAGAAATGTCCTCTCTAACAATTCAATTCATCAGATATAATTTTTTTTATTTTTTTTTTTTAAACAATCTTTTGTGAGGAAGCCTTATCATCAAAGATGGTTTTCATAAGGGTCCTCAAATAAGAAGGAAATAATTATTTACATAAAATACTGACAATAATCATAATTATTCAGACTATAATATATATCTACTCCAAACAGAATACAGCATGCAACAAGATTATGAAAATTAATTAATTAGAAATCTTAAGAAAGTTCAAAAAGTTAATTAAATGGTCAACTAAGTCCACACTTAAAACACTAAGATAACAAGTTATTCATTACATACTGAGACATATTTGTTTTTAAAAGCTAAAAAACTACTAGAATCTTTAACAAATGGCGGAAGATTATTCCATTCATTAAAAAACATATAGTGCGATGTTTGTTGTCCCCAATTGGTTCTACAAATGGAGAGTCTTACTAACTGTTTTTTTCTTGTATCATGACAGTGTAAATCACTTCCTTTATTTCTTTCATATTAAAGTCAACATTATTGTTCAAGGCTTTATAAACAAAACTACATCTGTAGAATTGTCTTCTATACGACAAAGGATACCACTTCAACATTGTTAAAGCCTGGCTACTAGAAGCATCGATTGGTAGATCCAACACAGACTTTGTAGTTTTATTATCAAGAATTTGCAGGTCATTCATCTGCGATACATTGTTTTTGTCACTCCAGACTAAATCACCATAATCGAGAAGAGGCAAAATTAAGCTGTTTACCACCAAAAGTCTTGCATGGAATGGCAGTAGATATTTGATGCGCTTGAAAATCCCAAGTCTCTTAGCCAATGTAGCTCTAACATAGCCAATATGGTCAGTCCAAGAAATCGTCTCATTGATAATAACTCCAAGATATTTATAGCTATCTTCTCTTTCCAGAATATGATCATCTATAGGTAGTTCAAGGGAACCAAAACTCTTCAATTGTTGCCTAATACCTATCAGCATAAATTTAGTTTTTAATAAATTTAAGGATAATCTATTTTCGTCAAGCCACGATTTTAGATGGATTAAGTCTTTATCTAGGGTGAGCGATGCTTCATATAAATTAAGAAAATCTTAAGGAAAGTAGTCGATGCCGTAGGCAGAGGATTGTTTTGTGTGGGAGTGGGAGGAAACGGATAAGTGGATATGTCCAATTCCCTCAAAATAATTGTAAAAATTGGAGTATTTGAAATATAATTTCAAGAATTTTGGGAATGGAAGTTTTCAGAATTTCCAAGAATGCAAAGTACATCAAAGACATCAATTTCTTCCAATCATTTCTCACCGGAATTAATGTAAATAAAGTCGCCTTGGCAAATTGGATGAGGGGTATTCTGTGATGCCGGGGGAGAAATTTTCAATGTGATTTTGATGTACTTTACAAGCTGCTTTCAGATAATTCCAGGATCTATGAGACACCACTTACCGCATTCTTAAAATTACATAACCTTTCATAAGATAGAGAATAATATTCATGTTATGATAATTTTAGCCTTTTTGAGAGAATGGTTGTTGTGACGATTGGGCACGCCACTGGCAGTAGTTGTGTTACCCAGAAGTAGAGGAAAGCACTCTAACCGTCCACTCTAACCAGAGTCCTTCTAGATCTATATAGAAACATGTTTTACATTTTTTTCACACGTGCATAACCTTGTCCGGGTATTTCTTCACAAAATGTGAAGTTTATGCGCTTGCTTGTTGCGATATCCATCGGACGCTTGTTCTGATATTTATATCTGTATACAGATCCCATGAATTGCAAACATATTCAAGAAAGTGGCATAAAGCAAGACGGAGAATACAATTTATTCGTAATGTGGCCAAATGATAAGAGATCAGGAAAGGTATACTGTGCTGATATGGCCTCTAAAACTCCACTGGAATATGTCACACTGCCAGCAGGAGAAGGAAACAATTTCGCAAGACATTACCAGAAGCAAACGCACGAGAAGCAAGAAACAATGTTTACGAAGGTAAATCAACTGTATCTCTATCCAAAACTAAAGCTGGCAGTCCGAGTTAAATTTTATTCCAAAATTTTTGCTTGAGAATGTTAAATAATCAAATGTTCTGTGCAGGGCCGTAGCTGGAACGATAATTGGTGGGTGTATATTCATATATTCCTGTTCTGCCCGACGGATTTCTTTTGAAATCGATTGTTTTTACGGTATGTAAACATGAATATATGAAGATCCCCCCCCAATTATCGTGTCTAGCTACGGCCCAGGTTCTGCGTACATCGTAAGTTTTCAAATTTACCATGTTTGAAGTACATAAAATTAAATAAAACATGAGCGAAATTTGGATCCAAAATTTTTGCATGAGAATGTTAAATAATCAAATTAATCAAATGTTTTGCGTACATCATACGCAAAGTTTGCAAATTTATCTGGTTTGCATTAAGAAGAAAAAGTAGGACAAAGTTTAGTTATCTTAGTTATCTTGTCCCTATTGTCTAAAATCCTCTTTGTAGAGGTCCAGAAGACCACAAACGTACACCCACCGTTCATCAATCTTCGATCTTGTAGAACTCTATGCAGTTGCTTTTCATCCTGATCACAGGTGGATTACATTTATTAGGGGCCCCCTGTTGCTTCTCAACCGGTGTATGTTTCTCAACCGGTGAATATATTTATGTTGCTCAACCGGTGTATATATTTAAAAAGCTATCTAACTGTGTAAACTACGGAAATATGAAGCTTCTCCCCAAAACGATTTTAGGAAGTGGGCACTCTTATCGTAAATACGTGAAATAAATTATTTGTGTTGTTTTAGATTCGTCTAAATCTGGCAGAGATGAAAATTGTGACGAATGATTACAGATTTGCGACAACAAACGTACCGGGTGTTTATCACCGGTATGCCACTGCTGGTGACTGCAAATCGTATGGATGCACAGATCCCAGAAGCGGAATATTCCAAGTTGATATATCTGGGACAAGTTTTCGATTACCATTAACGATACCATACAAATATGTCTCTCATCCCGCTTGTGCGCAAAAGCTCTTCAGCCCAACAATGGATGCAAGTCGATTGCGCTGGTCAGCCACATGTGGTGGCCGTTGTGGCGGTTGTGCACCAGAATATTTACACTTGGAATTAAGTGGATAATTGGAATCTATTTTAGCTAACTTAAAAATTGATAATCAATCCATTTATCCCAATGAAACTTTGCAAACCATCAAGAATCCGAAAAAAAAACTAATTGCTAGAATATATATATGCATGCAGCAACCCCACTCCTTTATTCTTAAAACATTGGCGTTTCACCTTTTCTATATTATTCATCATTCGCTTCGAACACTAGGATTCGAACATTCTATTTAGTTTTTGCATTTTTTATGATCCTAATAGTATAATTATAAGGAAATTACCTTGCATGGAATGTACCGACTCGTTCGCGTCTTTCCGTTTTTGTGCCTTTTAACATTTCATTAGTATTATAATTCTTATCTTAAATGTATCAATAAAGTTGTTAATTAGAATAAATATTAAATTAATAAACATGAAGTATTCCGAATTACGCCAAAATTGATTACTGAACGCATGCTCCACTGGCTCGCGTCATATGAACCATGCCAAAACAGTAATTTTAATTTAGTTTTAAGTACATAACGACAAAAACAAATGGAAAGTTTTGGCGGTCTCAACTAGAACTGTGTTATTTTGGATTCTGTGGGCTCTAATGTAATGTACAATTCAACACGATACGCTTCGCAAATTTTACTCAGACTTTGCCATTGAAATAGAATAGATTTCATTTAAACATACAGTCCACTCATAAAAATCATTTGATATCCTTTTTGTGTTGAGTTTTATAAAAAATTAAACATGTAAATTTGATTATACTGTAAGAAACACCCACTGTGAAGAGAAAAGCAATATACAATGTACATGTTTTAGGCGAAAAATCGAATGACAAATTCAAACAGATAAACAATCAAAACCAGCTTGCCATATGCTTCAGGAAATAAATCCCTGCGGTAAAAGCATCATATAGAAGGCGTTTTTGGTTGGCTAAATTCCCTTTGTTCAATTTTTGCCGGAAGTAATTGAGCTTATAACAGCAATTAAACGCCTGCTATATACAGTACGTAGTCTGTTATTTCCAGATTACAATTTACTGCTGCTTGTTTTCGATCATTGGCGGGAGAGGGGGGGTAGTTAAAAAGCATTTCGAGATCTAGCTGTCTTCAAGATGACTGAAACGATGCAAGAAAGTCTGTCTGATATTTTTAGTCATTTAGGCTTGAAAATAATTTAGATTGAGAACAGAGAGAGAGTCATTTATTCATTTACTGCGTGGACGTTCTCGCAATTCTTCTATCGGGACATAGGGAAAGTTTTAAAATTATTCCAACTGCTTGTTTCCGACCATTGTGTGTGTGGGGGGGGGGGGAGGATGTTAGTTAAAAAACATTTCGAGACTTAGCAAATTTCCTACTTGATATTTTAAATAAACACTTACCGGTTTCCTTTCCTTATTTCCTCAATTTCCATCGCCTATCATATCAATAAAGTCAGCAATTCTTGCTAATATTAAAATAATTGCTTGCACAATTATCAGACTAACGCCCGTATTCTAAAAGCTCACTCACACTCACACTCAATGAGTGGAGGTTCAATCTGAGCTTTTCTTGAGCGTCAATGCTGTTTTTGACTAGTTGGAGGGTGAGTAGTCACATAGTAAGGTACGACACTAACCCTCCAGCTATTCAAAAACAGCATTGACACTCACGAAAAGCTCAGATTGAACCTCCACTCATTGAGTCTGTGTGTGAGTGAGTTTTTGGAATACGGGTGTAAGTGTTAGTAAATTACTAGTGATATTCGTTGATGAAATTTTCAATTTGCTTAATTTAAAAAGTTGTTTGCTTAAATACTAAAGAAATGAAATTACTCAAATTCATCTTAAAGGACGAGTTATTGCAACCAGCTATCTACCCATTTGAAAAGAAAATGATCGACACATTTACTTTCTCAAATGGTTACCATGGTGACGAGCAACGCCCATGGGAAGCCATATTTAGCTCTTTACGCCAACAGTTCTAGCTTCAATATTACTTAACCTATCATGTTCATATTTATTCGTAATATAATGCTAGGGCTACACACTAAACTTAATATTTATGTACCCTTGTGTAGCATTGAAAATATTCAACTGTTGATATTCTGGTCACACTTTCCCTTGAATGGCAGGTTTTATGATTACTTAAAAATACGCAATTGTTAGATTTTGAGGTTTATTTTACGGGAGCAAATGAAAGGAGCAATACTTGAAACTTTGAGTTCAATAGCTAGAGCAAGTTTGAGAGCAATTAGGCCGCAAACAGTTTCTAAAAAATATAGTGTTGGGAAAAATCCAATTAATTAAAGATTACGTAAGTGTTTTAAGTTGTGTGAAAGACCTTACTTTGAAATAAAACATGGTAAAATGTTCACTTGCTGCACAGGTCTGGCCCTCTGCTTTCACTTTTTTTCCCTCATTCTTTTTGTTCCCTTTTAATACCTTTCGTTTCTTCTTTGTTGAGTCTTTCTTCTTGTACTCAGCAGAATAAATATTGTGTTTGTCAAGTTTATGGCAACCCAACCTCGTTGCAAGGCTCTTCCCTCTTGTGGAGAAAAAACCCTGGATGGGGCTGGTCACGTCTCTATAAAAAATGATTGCCCAAGGGGGTTAGGGAAAAGTCTCATATTACGTGCTTTCACTTCCGCACATTACACTTCGATGCAAGGAGTGAGAGTCAACCTCGTTCCCAGGGCTTTCGTGTGAGGACGAGAGAGGAGAAGCCCTGTTCTGGGCCGGTCAATTTTGCATTCTCTTTGGCTAACACTGACCATATTTTCTAAAAATAGCAGGACTTGACAATAACAATTCAACATTATATTTCAACTGTATGTGTGTTTTTATGATTGTTGTGTACGACTATATTTTGCAAAATAATCTTTCAAAGTAAGAACGTGAATTGTAAATGGGGAACGAGATACCGTTGTGCCTTTGGCGTTTGAGATACCGTTGTGTCGTTGGCGGCTTTAATTTGCGTATCACTGACACTGTGGTTGAAAATCTCCAGAAATATCGGTACATATTAGAAAACATCGACGGTGTCTTCAGACATTTCTGCTGATTCGTGCCAAACTTCACTATACATAAATAATATCGATTGAGAAGTGTTTCATTGTCGTATATTTTGAAAATGTTCCTATGTTTTCTAGGGGCCGAATATGCCTGCCCATTTGTAGCAATATTCAGTATGAGATTATTCATTCAATTTAATCTATTATACATTTAATAAAGTTATATTCTTTCAGTTTAATCTTTTATACACATTCAATTCAATATAAAATGTTCATTCAATTTAATCTATTATACATTTAATAAAGTTATATTCTTTCAGTTTAAAATCTTTTATACACATTCAATTCAATATAATATGTTCATTCAATTTAATCATTTGTGTGTATATGTATTTAATTTAATCCTGTAACAGTATGCATTCAATAAAAATATCCATTCAATATTAAAAAATCCATTCAATATTTGAGGACTGAGTCGAGTGCTCGGTTAGCACCACCAGACGTATGGAATTTAGTATGAGTTCATACGTTTTCGCGCCATTATCAAACAACATGGCCGCATTGGGAAGGAAACGATAACAAAGGCTGCTGAATTGCTTCAGCAAGTGTCCACGATGTTGCTGTCGGTGAATGAAAATTTGTCTGAAACCAATTCTCGCTCAACAGCTACCAAGGCTGATACGCCTGGAACATCAGCAGCTACTGCAATTGCCGTAACAGAGCTATGTGACACTCTTAGCACGAGCTAAATCGATGCTAGCTGCTAGTTCGAATGCTGGCTTGTACAGACGTCTAAATAAAAACGAACGCCTGCGAGATGCTGCCGGAAAATCATCATCTTCATCCTTACAAGGCTCAAGTTCAAGCAAGAAAGAAAAACCACTGCGAAGTTCAGAGAAAAAGCCGTTTGAATTTGCACTGCTTCGAGCACCTGAGGTAGACAGTGACGGTGAGGAAGAAGATAGCTTAAGGAAGGACAATGTTATCAACAGAGGTATTATTACTTTAACTCCTTCTAACACTGAGAAACTAATAAGAGATAACATTGTTTCATCTTTAAAACCAAGATATCCCATGATTGAAAATCGTGACTTTGAATTTGTCAAAGTAGTCCAAAAAAAATTTATGTTCCTCAGTTGGGAAAAGGAACACAGTATGATTACAGTGTAGTGAAAAAATTGGCTGGGCAAGGTCTGTTGTACATTCGTATGAAGCAAGCAATGCAGTTTGCTGTTGATGAAGATATTCATGTTGATGACGATATGCCAGATGACCATTTCCATCCTTAGAACTACCCAGTCCATTTAATTCACCAACAACATCACCTGATCTAACAGGTGCACCAAGTGATTGCAATCTTGTCCCAGATGGTCCATCTGTTAGAGAAACACCACTTGATAGTGAGCAATTTACACTATCCCCACAAGGTGTCCAGCAATTTGGACCAGCAATTCCAGAAATGGAACTGTCTCCATTTTTTTCAACAGTAATTGACGGAATACCATCCACTGTTAGTGACCCAACAGAAATGTTAAGATTCTTGCAGAAGAAGATTTTGTTAGGTCGTGACCTAGATATTAGTGATGTATCTTCTGAACTTAATGGGGACACTAATTATATTTCAGTGGATCGAGATAATATTTTGGAAACAACATTTTCTGAATTGAATGATGGGAAAAATCCAAGAATCACTTTTGAAGTTCAGTTCTATGGCGAGCAAGCTGAAGACAGGGGAAGCCCCAGAAAGGAATGGATAAGGCTTTGCAATCAGAAAATACACCCGAAATATTTTGAACACGGTCTTAAGGCACGCCGGGTCAGCTCTTCCCAAAAATCGGCCATCTGATATAAACTTCTTCAATATATTTCGGATGGACATGAAACTTGCTACATCAATATAACTTTCCATTCCGAACAATCGTATGTTTTTTATTTTTGAGATTTAACGGTTTTTGGCGGGAAAATGACGTCACAAAACCTCCAGTTAAAATTTACTTTCAATATCTTAATAGTTTTGTCGCAGAATTTGGAAGAACATGTCATGAACAGTTCAAAACTGTAAACGGATTTTAAATATCTAAACCTAATCCAAAGTTATTTCACTATAAAAACCGTGAAAAATCTAAAAATAGTAACAAAATGGTGGAAAATTCGATTCTAAACTCCCTGTATCTCGTGATTAGATTAAGATATTTAAAATCTCTTTTCAGTTTTGAACTCTTCATGACATGATCTTCCACATTCTGCTTAAAAACTATTAAGATATTGAAAATAAATTTTAACTGGAGGTTTCGTGACGTCATTTTCCCGCCAAAAACCGTTAAATCTCAAAAATAAAAAACATACGATTGTTCGGAATGGAAAGTTATATTGATGTAGCAAGTTTCATGTCCATCCGAAATATATTGACAAAGTTTATATCAGATGGCCGATTTTTGGGAAGAGCTGACCCGGCGTGAGGAGCATCTGGCAAGTGACTATTTTTACATTGGCCAAATAGTAGCAATAGCACTTCTTCAGAATGGACAGTTACCTGTTTACTGTCCAGAAACAGTTTTGCAAAATGTTTTTACAGGGCCGTACCCAAGCACACACCCATGCATTTCCAACCTACAGAAAGGTCTGGATACTCTTAGAATCCATACAGTTGGTAGAAAGTTCCCACAATTCCTGCATCTCTTTAGACCATCTGAAAATGCTAAGTTGTCTGTAAAAAGGTTACTACACCTTCTGATACCAACATTTTCTGAAAAACGATCAAACAGCCTAAAGTACGGGAAGAGTGCTTATACTCATTTTGTCAAGTATGTTAGAGAAGTAGCTAGTGGTCGTAGAGTAACTAAGCTGGAGAATATCCTGGAGTTTGCTACTTGTGCAAGTGAAGAGCCCCTTCTTGGTTTTGCTCTTTCCACATCCATTGAATTTGTTGAAACCACTTGTGCATCCAGGGAGCCTAGCTATAACAGCGATGAAAGGGCACCTCAAAATCAAGTATGACTTTTACCCCCAAATCAGGTAAGATTTATTCCTGATGCTGATATAGTACCGGGTGGCCCAAAAAAAAGTACTCCTGTTTGATTCGTAATAACTTCTAAACAAGTAAAGTTTTTAAAGAGAAATAACTTGCATTAAATAGAGGAAGGACTAACTTAGATTTTGATATATTACAGTTGTATTTAACTTAACAATTCACGGATATATTAATGTTAAAAATGGGGAGCATATTTTGGAATGTGTCTAAAATTAGCGAAAATCGGCATATCAAACATTAACTCCAGCGTTTGTTTGCTTAATGACATATTAGGCTAACTTGTATTTCAGCGAATTATCGTTAAGGTTTGTAAGGGATATGGCGTAGATTTAGACATCTTACATGTAAGTCTTAGCTCATTGTTTCCTGAAATATGAACGTTCGAAATTATGCAAGTATTTAATATTAGGGCTTTGCAAACTTAAATGTACATGAAAGACTGACCATGGAAGGCAGGCGCTTAAATTTTTCGTATTCTTAAATAGCCTAATTTTTTTATGTTTTTAATGGGTTCAAACAGACTGAGTAGATTATTTCTCGGTTAGAGCAGGATGAATATTCTTTATTGAAGGAAATAATATTGCTTTTTGCAAATACACATCACCGTATCAACGCTACTATTTTGTTACGTTTTGTTCCAAAAATGTTGCATGTCTTTGGGGAGTTGCTTTAATTGTTATGTCTTATGGAGTTGTATGGTTTGATTGTGTTTCATATAATTCTCAGTTTACTCCATGAACTTGCCAAGATTAAGAAACGGCAAAAGAGTTTGGGTGTTCTTAACAAGATTTCAGAACGTTGCAGAAGTTAGAAGAGCTTCAGAATTCCGTTGTGACAGCATGCCCTAATTCAGAACTACGAACGATCCAATGACGATCCTTCGCGATGCAGTGGTCTCATGAAATAAGGAAACGTATTCGTGCTAGGAACACACGCGAATTTCGGACGAATGAATCTTGCTTCTATTTTGTAGATATAATAATACTTTGTAATACATAATAAACAATTTGTCAAGTGTCATTTATTTACTGGTAATAGTGCATGTTTCAGTCGGGCAAATCTTGATTAATATTTGATACGCCGATTTTGCATATTTCAGACACATCCAGAAATATCCTCCCGAATTTAAAGATTAATATCTCCGTGAATTTTTAAGTGAAATACAACTGTAATATATCAAAGTCTAAGTTAGTCCTTCCTCTATTTGATGCAAGTTATTTCTCTTTAAAAGCTATACTTGTTTAGATGTTATTACGAATCAAACAGGAGTACTTTTTTTTGGGCCACCCGGTAGTACCCGGCTTGTTTTTTTGGATATGTATCAAACTTGCAAAACAGAAACGAACAAACATTAGCAATCACTATTAATAGAGTACTAAAGAGAAAATTTCGTATTTGTTGATTGGCATGTATTCTGGTTCTAAAATTCATTCGATGGTTTATATCATTATTTTGCCATTCAAACCGACATTAACGTTTAGAACTAGAATCCAAAGCAACTGAGTCTCAATTTTGTACTTTATTATTATCATCAAATTGTATGTGATGTCATAAATGCCATACTGGTAGTAATATATTTTTAAAGGTTTACATATGTGAACGATATGTATGCATGTTTGATTAATGGTTAAATATTAAAAATGACTACAGTTTCTGAAACGTTCTCTGATATTTACGATCAGAGAACGTTTCAGAAACTTTATTACGAATCCTGGTCGCGCATCTAGCATTTTTGATAAAAATGACTAATTACAGTGGGGTTGGTCTTTCACAAAAAGACGGCGAGACCCTGTGAGTATGCACATAACATAACTGCATCTATACTTAAATACTAAGGAATAAACTTACAATCCTCACATAGCCTCAATCACAACATGTGGATGGACAAATATACGAACTACACAGTTAACAACAAGGACCAAGTTTACAATATCTCACTGCATGGTCTACTTTCCAGACCCTGTGAAGATATATTTAAGAAAACCATTCACTCAAATGAGATAAAGGAAAATTACACAACACAAAATCACAAGCGACTGTGCAAATCTTATTACCAAATCCTAGTTTGCAATATCGCGGTATGGTCTAATCCGACCCTGTGGTAAATGTGCATCATCAAATCACACCTATTAATTACCAAGTAGTAACTTTACTTTAATAATTCACGAGGAATTATTAATAATTCACGAGGAAAATACAAAAGAAATGAATGTTTAATCTATGTTTGTAAATCGGCTAAAGATTTGTCCTGATTTACATAAACTTCAGCCTTGATTTTCTCGGCTTAAACAATGTTTATTTTTAAAATTACTTTGCCAATGAACTCATAAGATGGGTAATTTTTAAAGTGCGATAAAACATTCCCATCCGATCTGTATCTGATATACAAACTCTCGCCTTCGGCTCGAGTTTGTATATCAGATACAGATCGGCTGCTCATGTTTTATCTAGTACATACAGTAAATGCTAGCTTCAATTACGACATTTCTACAATGGATTGACATAAAAAGACACAAAACAGCGCATGCGTTATGCACGTGTACTTCTTATACGGTGTTTCACGGCATGGTCTGCTCAGTTCAAGACCCGGTTAAAAATATAAGAAATCCATTAGATAAATAATGAATATAAGTAAACCACAGGTCCAAGACTCATGTAGCGGTCCTATAATCCTATTACCTATCCAAAAATTAAAATATAACGAACGGTACGCCCACGTTTCCGACCGTAAATATTTAAGCAGCCTACTGTTCGAAATTTGTCAGCCACCTGATGATTCCTCTTTGATGAAACAGGCTGTTGTGGCAACCCTTTGAGTTAAAAACTTCTACTCTCGAGTGAGATATATCATAAATTCCAGACAGCGCCGCAAGCAGAGAACTCTGCCCGCCGCGGCTGGGTTTTGAACCCGCAATCTTCTAATTACTAGATAGATTCTCTAGTCTCTACCAACTGCGCTACACGGTCAGGACAGATAGAAGGCTGGAAATTGTGAACTACTGTATATACTGAATGACATAAGCATACTCGTACGTAAGTTTTATATTAATTCAGCATTAAAACAATATTGAAACCTAACATTTATGAAAAACATAGAGCGACGTTGATGTTTTAACAACAAAAATCTAGCCTATCGTGCCTCGTTTGATTAAAAAAAGTCCAATTTAAAGTGAATCAGGGGAAAGAGAAACATGGAAAATATTAACACAATAATGTGTATTTACTGTCATAAACTAACCTCCGATAATTGTAACTTTGAGTTCTCAAGCAAAACCTGCCACAAAAAATTGCCAACAAATGCATTTAGGCGAATGAAACATTTCTCAGAATACTAATGATATATTTGGACAATGATGGAATTTAGTCTTGTAAAACAGCATGAACGAAACATTGATGTTCTAAACTGATAGATTAAGTGCAGTCGAAAAAAATATTTTATTCTAAGGCTTTTATTAATTGTGCTGTATATATTAAAACACTTTCACCGTTGTCTAATCTTGCACGAGTGTTTAAACAATGACATCGATTTTAAATTTTATTTCAAGTTCTCCTCTGACATCCACAGCTACAACACTCGAATAACATTAACAATTGCGTCTCTTTTGTTCAACATGGACGTACTTGACTTAGCCAAGCTACTCATGGCCAGAAATTCGCGACATTGAGCCAATGTTTGGTCAGCGGTAGACCGCGCTAAAATTAAAGATGGCGGCGACCAAGCGTTTGTCCACACGAGATGTTGACTACGCGCAATTAAATAATTTTAGCTCTGTTGTTTTATACAACAATACTGCCCCGCGAAAGAAAAAAGGAAAGACTTTTCAAGTTGAAAGAATAATCGGAAGAAAGAAGGAAAAACACGTAAGTATTAAAGTGAAATTAGCTGAATTTACAACTTAAAATTTCTCTTAAGAATAAATGTCTGTACTAAAAGTTGACATTTTGAAGTATTGACTCGTTAGTCATTATGTTATTCTTGATTTTGTTATATTAGGACTATCTATATCTTATTAAATGGGATGGATGGCCTCTACACTCGTGCACATGAGAACCTTCTGCTCATTTGCCTGATAGTTTACTAAGGTAAAGTTAAAGTGACGATGATAGACTTACACTATTAAATTTACACACGATTCTGATTCTCTTATTTCTACACATGATACATATTAACCGAATTTCTTCTGTCATGTTGTTTCAAGGGGTTATGAGAGACCGCCAAAGCCTTCTGCCAGCAGATTGGAGACAACTGCCAGAGCATTTACATGTGGTGTTTTGTGCATGCTGAAGTCCAAATCAATGGGTAATGGATACATCGAGCTCGATCTTGATTACTGGCGTTATGTTACCCAGGGTAAAGGGACACCATCACAGCACAGAGGCCATTTTATGTTTGAAAAGAACGATTTTGATCGCCTTCCAATGCTACCTCCCGACTGGTGGTATTATTTTAATGTACATGGGGAAGGTAAGAAAACAGACTTTCCCATCAAGATTAAGCCTGTAATTGGTTGGTCACCAAAGAAGCATGTCTTTGATGGCAAGAAAGTTGTACCGGGACCAAGGTTTCCAATTGAAAAACTAAGTGTTTCCTTTGCTCGGCTACCCTGTAATGAGAGAAATCTTTTTAGTTAAAGAAACAAATTGTATTATATACAATAAAGGATTAGTGTCTCACCATGATATTACAGGGTCAAATTCTTGCTTGTGGCTATTTTATGGGCCGAGTAGATCAATTGATCTAACCTGTTGTACAGTATACATTTATACTATCATCTGAGAATCTTTGCTTGTTTTATCTGATTCTATTTATAAATGTACCAAACAAGGTATTGTTAATTAAGCCCAAAATACCATGGTGTGACACCAAGGGGCCGATTACATGGAGCATTTTCAACCCCGGGGTTGAACTCGGCCCTGTTAACCGGGTTGAAATTTTTTGCGATTACATGGACGATTTCAACCCCGGGTTTAAAACATGATACTATACGTTCTCGGCATTGATTCGTGGAAGTAAAAAAGCCTTTATTTTGTTATAAATAGTCACTACTACGCATGCTCGAATAACTCATGATAATTTCAGCCCTGGGTTGAAACGATTACATGACAAAATTTTCAACCCAAGGCTGAGTTCAACCCCTGGGTTGAAATTTCAACCCTGCAACCCCGGGGTTGAACTCAGCCCTGGGTTGAAAATTTTGTCATGTAATCGCACATTTGATTTTGATAGAGTTTTGTATTACAGACAGGGCTGAAATTTCAACCCGGTAAACAGGGCTGAGTTCAACCCCGGGGTTGAAAATGCTCCATGTAATCAGCCCCTTATTCTTTAATAATATCTGCTCTCAAGGGAAATAGTTTTGTTAACCTTTCTGGTTCAATTGTACCAAGTCTGGATAGCTTATCTGGCAAATATTTGTAAGCAATTGAACAGAAATTTTTCATGCATGGAACAACCAAATTTAAATCTATACTTGTCAAAATGACCACCAAATAGGCAATTCAGGCTTCATACAACCACCCTCAGAATATAAAGATATACATTTGATATAAATATATAAGGATATTGCCCGGGCATCTTACCTGATTATAGATTGACCTAATTTTAGAAGGAATTTGTAAGTGGAAATTTTGAGTGTAGATTTTATACATTTATGAGACCTAACCAGGGGAGCAGTTGTGAAAATTGAAAAATGCAACTATAGGCCCTCTGACAGGAGTCACACCTATGGCCCTGTGCTTCTGGCGCAGTGCTCTAACCAACTGAGCTACAGAAGACAGATACAAGGTCTCGTTTAATGCAGTTATAAATATATACATATAATTATACAAGTAACAATTTGGTTTTAGTCTTTGTGGAGTGCTTCTTTCAAAATATCCTGCAATTTTTCCAGCTTTCGTACTCGTGTTTGCACTCCTAATTCTTTCAGTTTCTCTTTAATTTCTAAAGCCGAAAGATTTTCAATATTGAAGACACTGTCTGAATTGCTCTCTGGTATTTCAACATTGGAGGCAGCTGACAGCTTTCTTCTTTTACTTCTTATTTCTGTTATGTCTGTGGACCAGTACTCAGTATTTGACTTATTGTACATTCTAGGCACCCTCTCATGTTGACCTGTTACTTGCAGTCGCTTAATGACAAGCAGGATATCTGTCGGAGCATCCCACTAAACGACTTTGTCAGATGAAATTTTCTGACATCGTCATTATTCTTTTCTACCCCTAACAGATGTAGGATATTACAATTGTTGTTAGTGCTTATCAATATCAGTGTATGAATGCACAATTATTGTTATATTATTTATGCCACATTAAACTGTTACCTTGTCCTGTGAATTTTTTCATGCCATTGTGTCTCTTCATGAAGTTTGGGACATGGTATACCAAGCAGTGTATGTAAGGTGTAACATGTTGCTTTCCAAACCCAGTAACGTCGCCACCAAGCGAAACAAATAACTCTACCCATGCTTTAGCCTAATACATAAAACAATGGATATTGATTATTAAATAGGAATACAAATTGCAATTATTAACCAATTTGCATCTTGAGACAGCTATTTGTTTCATTATTGTCAGAAATTGGTTAATTATTAATAGCATTATTTATACGACAAAATCATTCTTCCCACGTATAGGCACAATATGTAGCACTTTCCCCATGCACCTTAGGTAAACCCTAGTCTTAAGCCCCGTTTACACGAGCAAATTTTATTAGACAAATTTCATATGTCAAACATATTTTACTCGTGTAAATGATAAATTTGTGACAAATTTATTGTGACAAATGCATTTGAACAAAAGCTAGCATGCTAGGCTTTTGATCAAATGCATTTTATCAAATGAAATTTGTCAAATAAAATTTGCTCGTGTAAACTTACTTACGTTTTACTTTTGTTATGTCCGTAGATTTTTGCACCATGTACATGCAATTGAATATTACTGCACCTTCCAGATCTTGATAACTGACTCACTTTGGGTTGGCTTGATTACCCCATCTAACTTATCTGGAAGATCCCTCAATAGCTTTTTTTTGTCTGAACCCATCAGGCTGGTAAAATCGTACACACCACTTCCTTTTCCATCACCATTCCTTTTTCCCAAACATTGAAAGACACACCACATGCCTGGATACACGTAACAATGTCCAGGGCCGTCGCGAAGGGATATGGATTGGGGGGGGGGTGTCGAAGGTCAAATTGCCGAGTGACGCTGGTTGAATTTGCCGAGTTTTTCAAAAATGTTGTTAACTTTATGCCACATTGTGTGCATGTCACGACCATTGATGAGTCATTATTTAATGTACAAATATATACTATCCGTATTGTACACACCAGGAATTATTTATTAATATACTGTTCCCTCAAAAATAAATATGTTGATATACAAATGAAACTAAATTGTTAGAGTATTTGATCAGTACATTTAGAGTATATTACAAACGTATTAGTATATTTATCGATACTCGATCGAGATACGTTCGCCACTTGCAAGTTTTAGTGTATACGAACTCATCTCTTCTTCAACAGGCTCCACTCTTTTGCAACTTTTTCCAAGTCAAGAGTGTCTGTAAGGTCTTTCTCGCAGGTTAAAAGCATAAGACCAGTCAGCCTTGAGTCGTTCATTGACGTACGTAGTTTGTTCTTCACAAACTTCAATTGACTAAATGAACGTTCATTTGAAGCCACAGTCACAGGAGCCATAAGCATCAATCTGACTGTCGAATTTGCCAATGGAAGGGACATTTTGTTGGCTTTGCTGACTTCAACCACCTTGTTATAGTCTTTGCCAACGTCGGAAGGTAATAACTCTGCCAATACTTGTAATTCGGCTTCTACAGCTAATGGGTCAGGTGATTGTGCAGGTGGAAATAATGAGACAGCGGAATGAATGCACGATACATCGATTGGTGGCTTCAAACACTTTAACAAAGGCAAAATGCTCTTCTTACACTGCACCAAGTGTTCTCTCATTCGGGATGTTAGAACATCAAGGACGTCGCGAAATAGATTTCTGTAGTAGGCTCGAAGTGAAAACTTTGTGGCTGTTCCGGCTTGCTCATCCACGCGTCCAGGTGCTCTCCTTGGGCGATGATGACGGTTGAAATCTGCTTCCGCGTCAATTTCGATGTTTTTGGCGAAGATTACGGATGCTTCAATTTGATCGTCCATCATTTTGTCGTCATCTCGTAACTTTTGCATGATGCTTAGCGTTCCATCAACAAGGCCTGTTGCATCCAAAATATTGAGCTCAACTGATTGCAGCTCCACCACCAGACTTTTCGTTTTATACGCAATGTTTTTCATGAACATCAGTGCGACAACAAAGTCAAGCGAAAGCATTTTTTTCCTTAAACCAAGTGCTTGCGTTTTGGTTTTTGCATCTGCTTTGCTGGTAACCGTGTATAAGACATCCAGAATCACTTCAAATGATGTCCAGACAGCTTGAATACTCTCCGCCCTTGCACTCCATCGGGTTTTGGACAGGTTTCTGAGCATCAGGCAGTTCTCGACCTTGGTAATTTCATCTTTCAGTGGCTGGAACCGTTTCGTACTAGATGTGAAGAATACATAAAGTACCTGCAGTATCTCAAACATTTCCCGGACAATGGCGCTTGCGTTACAACTATATGCTCAATTACGGTGTTGCAGCGGTGTGCTTGACATGGTATGTAAGGAATATTGCGTCCAACAAGCTCGAACAAATTCTTCTGGGCACCATTGAATTCACCAGACATTGCGGCGGCGAAGTCGTATGACTGAAAACACAGGCTATCTGTATTCAAACCACACCGCTTTATCGTCGACAGGATGTCTTGTGCTTGTCCAAGACCGGTCTTGTCCTCCGTCTTCAAAAGATCCAGCAATCTTTCAGTTGGCTTTCCAGTGGCGCTGACATATCTTAGAACAACGGAGAGTCTGTCCGTGTGCTCTTCGTCCGGAGTAGTATCTGCCATAACGGAAAACATACCCGAACATTTAACTTCTTCTATTACTTTTCCTCGCAGTTCCTTTTCAAGCAACATGATGAACTCATTCTGCGACTGAGGACTTAAGTAGGTGACGTGGTACGGGTTCAGCCTTTTGTCAGTTAGCCACCGTTTTAAGTTTGGTACATGTCTGCTGAGCAAAAGGACCAATTGATAAAAATTACCGTCTTCATTGCTGTCGCCTCTGAATGGAAGAGCTTGGCGAGCAAGGGTCTTTGCGATGTCCAGGAGGATAAGAATGATTTGACGGTTATATTCCAAATCTTGAGCTTCTTGAATTTGCACTGCCCTTTTTTCCTTATCCAGTTGGATGTCGATATGCTTTGTCCTCTGCAGGAAGTGACAGTATGCACCGAGAGAAGCCTTATGACTTTGGGAGGAGAAGTGCTGGACCAGTTTTCCCTGTTTGCTCTTTATGAGTTTGAGTTTGTTTCGTTTGCTCCTTATGCCATTTTCTAATGCCTGTAGTTTTCCAGCTGGGGTCTGCCTTCTCCTTTGAAGGTGTGTCGTCGAATAATGAGCACACGAAACAGAAAACAGCATCTTTCTCCACGCTGTATTCCAAATGTGGATACTCGTCATACCATCGTGGTGAAAAACGATTCTGCTTCTCCTGAGGTATATCTGGGTTGGTTGGGAAACAAGGTAACCTCGGCTGAAAAGGTCCAAGTTCAACCAAGTACTCTTGTTGATTGTCGTCGCGGACCTCATTACGTAGAGCTGGATCATGTTCCACAGAAACTTGACCAGGATTAGAGTCGTTAACTTTGACCTTCATCCGTTGGATATCTTGAAGAATGGTGTCAACGTCGGATTTTTTAACAAATCTTCCACAGTTTTCTTGTATCAGTGTTACAGTATTCTTAGCTTCTTCGATCCACTGTTCTATATTGGGAATGTCTGCCTTCCTTGCATCATTTACCAGTGTTTGACACTCATTAACATAGTTGGAAATGCAAGACAAGGTTGCAACAGATTCGATCCAATCATTCCAATATGATTTCTGACTGATTTCGGATTGTAGATCTGCATTTTCAGAATTAAAAGAATCTTTACGAAAGGTAGGAGAATCTGTAACTTCGGGACAGGAAAGAGAATCTGTAGTTTCAGGAAAGGTAGGAGAATGTGAAATAACAGGAAATGTGGTAGAATCTGTAATTTCTGACGCGGAACACGAATCTGTCGAATCGTGATTTTCCGAGATACAAATGTCACTTTCTGAGATGATATCTGCGATGGTTAGATTGCTAGTTGACGCATGGATCTCTGGAGCAGGGTTCTTCTTTGGGTTTAACAACTTTGGCTCCTGTTTTGAAATCGATGCCTGTTCGTGGGTTGTTGCTACAAAGCAAGCAAGTTTCTTTATATATAAAATATGACATTCTAAGAACAAACATATATAAAGTAACGAAATCGAAGCACACGAACAATAACTGGAACCACAGCTCAGTATGAACCTGTCCTAATAACAGTATTTTATTTTTGTGTATTTGTTTTCAAATAGGAGTATTATTTTAATTTATTTATATTAACTCATTAACTGGCAAGCTGTTACAATGTTACCACCCCCTAAAGTGGCAAGCAATATGGCGAATTCATGATTGAATTCCAAGCTTTCACCAAAATGGCAATATCTCAGAAACAATTGCATAAAAAAGTCTGATCTTTTCAACCAAACATAAATGATATATGATTGACCAAATTTAGTTTAGATGAGCTTGCATACCTATATATATCATTAGTTTTTTCAGTCAGTATTTTTATTTATAAAGCAGTGACAATTTGTTTTTCATGTCACTCATCACCTAAAGGGGCAATATCTCCATAAATTTATATAAAAACCAAAAAAAAAAAAAAATTTTTCTAAATTAATACATATCTATATTACAACCAATTTTCATCTTTTGGGATATGAATTATGAAATTATCAAAAAATTAAAAAATTACTTCTTTGCTTTTTTTGGGCATCTTGTTTACAACATGAAATTTATAACAGTAACTAAGTGTTCAAGTTCAACAAAGTGTGCAAGCCAAAACACAGTGTTTGTACATCTTTAAAGTTTTTTTATTGCTTCAAATATATTTAAGAAGACACATGGTGCTTAAATTTATTTATTTTAATATAAACCAAGGATGGGAAGGTGAGAAAATGAGAATTTTCTGAGGTGTTTTTAACACAGACAATGACAGCCGACATTTTGAAAGGCACTCTGCGGTGACAAAACTAAAAGCTATTCACTTCTGTACTCAAAGCACTGAAAAGTATCATAAACAGAAAAACACTTTAAACACATGTCAGGTAAGACTTTTAGCTCAATATTTTCATGCTTCTATTGGGAAAGCAACGGTTTAAAAGCCAAAATTATTTTGCGCGCCAATGTAGGCTGCTATAAAATATCAGACAGGCGGTTTCTTTTGAAGTCTGGCTCTGAAAAACAATCTCTTTATTTGAGTTTGAAATAAGCCTTCATAAGGACTATTGTGTAGAAATGTTATCTATATGCTCACATGAAAAAGATAACATAATATTCAGGTATTCCACATAGCTATAAAAGGGTGAAATAAGAACTTTCATCTTTGGTTGTTTGTCAGACGTGAGAAACCACATTTAGTGCCATTTTGTCGCACGTGCTATTTTATAAAATAAACACCTCAAAACCATAAACTTTTAGTTCAGAAGATTACAAAGTTTCCCATAGACATTATTAAAAATGTTCTAGTGAAGCGATTTCATGATAAATAAGTGAGCAATGGGCCCAAAAGAACTGCTAAGGTTAGTTTTTGTTAGGACTTCAATTTCATGGCTTCCCGCAAAAGGAAGCCATTTCAGAGAGAAGCAACATTTTGCAAACAACAGTCGCGACTTATTTTGATAACTTTTCCTTCTGATTCAACGTGTAGTTACTAGAAAATGATGTTGCATCAACATTATTATCTGCTTTATCGATTTAAAGTTTTATAGGGGATATAAAAAACAGTAAAAATGCATTTTGAAAGCTTTACAACTCAAGTGCGGACTTTTTGAATATTTGCACGCGGCAAGCAAGCGCGTTTATTCAATACACTTATTTTAAACCACAATACGTCTGAAACGAGTTGTCATTTTGACACTAAATTGATGAAAATAGATATAACAGTGATTTTGGAATATCCTACTTATTTAGTGTAATTTAATACTCGAAGTATTCTTGCCAAAAAGATCACGTACGCACACAGTAAGTGTCGTTTGAAATATACTTTTTAGCTAAAATAACAACTTGAACAAGAAGACCAACAATGGGGTCACGAAAACAGTCAAAGTTGCGCCCAAATTTGCATAAACAGTTCGTCTAAAAAGATAACTTTAAACTAGATTCAACCAACATTAATGCGGTCGAATTTTGTGAGTGTTTGATCGCATATTTCTACTCAAAAATATCCTTTAAAAAATCGTATCTGCTCACTTGAGTTCCGTGTTCATCTTTCTTGTGATTTCCGACTTCTATTTTTACGTCAGTACATTCGCTTTCCTTTCATGCCAAATTTTCGTTGTAAATCATTCAAAAACGTCTTCTTTTTCCTCTTTTAAAACTTGCTGTGAAATCCTTCTTTGCAACAATATCGCCATTATTCATTATTTTTGAAAAACTAAGGTTTTAAACTTGAAAA